AGTTCTTTATTGTCATTTTGTACTGTGCTCATATTTTTCTTCCTTTCTTCACCCCACATGCCCCCTAAATTACCAAGTTAAGACTAACACCAACCGCTTGATTCTTCCTTACTTTTTACATGACAATCTTCACTCTTATCAAATGTGGCCTAAAAATAAAAAAAGCTCCCATGAACATATTCTAAGATAATAAATACTTTCCCCTGTTTAATTTTCTCTCTCATCTGTGTGAGCTCACAGATATTCATGGTTTGCAGTCTAAAGGGAAGAAGAATATTGGAAATTCATGTGGGTTATCAACACACAAAATACCATTGGAGAAAAGCAGAGAGTATGCTTCAGGCAAAAGTATGCTTCAGGCATTCTAATCGAAGGCCAACTTTGATCGTCTCCATGGACCTATGCCATGTGGTTTGTCTATATCTCCGCTAGCTTTACCCCTTGATTTGGTAAATCTAATTGGAGACGTATCAATCCAGCTCCATTTCTCAGTGCTGTCTTGAACAGTTGGCTCTGGCACACAAAATGACATTTGGAAAGAAAGTCTTCCTTTAACAACCCTGTTGACTTTTCAGCTTCTCTGTTGCCATAATCATCAGAGTCTAATTTACTCTTCGAGGGCCCTAATCATTCTATAGCCTCAGCTGGACAGAAAGAAAATAATTTGTTCACTTAAGAGAAAGAAAGTCTATACTCCTAAAACAAAACGAGTCCGACAGAGAACTTAGAATTAACAGGCCTTGTTGACGGACCCTTTTTTCTACTTTTCATCAGTCCGGTGACAGTGGACTCTAGACAGAGATAAATGAGAGGTCAAGCTGCCCTTCATTTTTCCAGAGGATTATTTCACCCACAGATAAGGCACAAAGAAGGAAGTAATAGTCAAGACCAGCCTGTAAGAAAACAAAACAAAACAAAAGGCTAACTAATAAAAGCTCATTCTCCTAGCAGTGCCCCTGCCCCCACTCCAGCTTGGTGGGTGCACCTACCAGCATGCATAGTTTGTTATTTTTTTCAGTGGGGGGAGGAAAAAAAAGCACAAAGCTAATATGTGGCAAAGATAATTGTGCCTCACATAACAGATGCTTGTGTTGCTTTCCTTAACTTTATAGCCCATATTGGAAAAAAAAAAAAAGAAAAGAAAAGAAAAGAAAAGAAAAACTCTGCACTCATTCTGTTTTATCATACAGAAAGCCAGGACCATACACCAAATGACGTATGCTAAACATATGCTGATTGATTGATTTTTAATGAAGAGAATACTGATAAGCCTGACAGGCTCTCATTGTGATTTGGGGAAGAAGAAAACTTTCTAAACGCTGTTATTATTCACATGGTATATTAAGAAAAGGGGAAGGGTTACCACTATAACAAGTCGAGAAAAACCAAAACAAAACACAAAGATATGCATGAGTGTTTCAGGGCTTTCTCTTTGTTGATGAAATTTGATTTGTGTAATTACTTCCTTTCTGAGTCTCTGTCGGACTTATTCTTCTATGGAAGGTAATTTTAGACTCTTTTTCCTCAGGCAAAATTTAATCCATAATAATATATAAAGGACTTTGAAAAGTTCTCCTTTTTACTTATTCAGTTATTTTAAACATGTGATTCAAAATAACAATGAGTCTCAGAATGACTTCCTAGAGACTTAACACTCCTTAATACATCAAATTAAACCCAACAATTAGGATTATTACTGACAAAATGACTTTTAAGGGCTGGCCGAGTGGCTCAGTTGGTTAAGAGTGCAAGCTCTGAGCAACAGGGTTGCCGGTTCGATTCCCACATGGGCCAGTGAGCTGCGCCTGAGCTGAGCTGCCAGTTGGTGGCAGGATGGCTCAGATGATGAGAGCATGTGCTCCTAACAACAAGGTTTCCGGTTTGACTCCCACATGGGATGATGGGCTATGCCCACCTGCAACTAAGATTGAACATGGCACTTTGAGCTGAGCTGCTGAGAGCTGCTGATGGGCAGTGGGATGGTGACTGGACTTGTTGCTGAACTAGCTGTGCCCTCCACAACTAAGACTGAAGGACAACAACTTGGCTGTTCCCTTCCCCAATTCCCCAACACTGTTCCCCTTCCCTAATCCCCCAATAATATCTTAAATAAACAAAATTGAACTGCTTTAAAAAAAATGACTTTTCAGTAGATGCATCAATTTATGTATTTTCTTTAAGATGTAGTTGTGAAAACAGAATGCACAAATGGCTTAAGTAAAATATGGAAGGATAAAACAGGTACAAGAAAATGAAGAGATTCAGAAGCTGATGACTTGTCTTTTATGTACATATTATAAACATCGTATATAAACGGGTCTCTGTTTTCCAAGGTGCCTTTATGATATTTCAAAAGTTTTTCTAACTAGGCTTTATGCCCATCTCTTATTTAGAGGTTCAAATAAAATAAAGGAAATGGGTTCCCTTTGTAGACTGCGAAGCACTATGAAAATGGTGGCCGAGCAGCTCTGGAAACAATGCTAACCATAACGTTGAGGCGAACTGATGCGCACTCGTGTCTGTCTGGTCAGGGACACTGATGGTTCTGATCATGCAGCTATGGCCTTTCCCCTAGCCAAGTCGTCTCCCTCCACAACCTCTCTCCGTCGTTCCCCGGATCTTTTCCCCACGGTTAACCCAACCTCTCCCACCTTCCAGCGCTTCCCTCCATGCTTTTTCCTGTAACTGCGTCTTGGCTGACTCCTGAAGGAAGCACTTCACCTCTCTCCACTGAAGGCTGCTCCTCCTACCTGCTGCCGGGTGAAGGGGGTGTCAGGTGCTCCTCACCACTCTATCCTAAGGCCGATCACGCAACCCTGTGAAAGCACTGCTCTCTCAGGGTCTTGCCATCCAGGCAGGGAATGAGTTTCCCTTTCTTATCACCGCCATCGACGGACCTTCGGGTCACTTCCGCTGTTGACTGCTCATGGACCCGGCTTGCTGCCTTCTTCCCTGCCCTGCATCTTTCTATCATGTTGGGTCACTGCGACCTTCCCTTCCCTCCTTCTCATTTCCGTGGCCTGATCATCTTTACTCACCTTTACTTCCACTCCATTTTCATACTTTGGAATGCGCCATTGCCTAGAACGGCACACCATGAAAATCAAATTCTAACATCCCACTGTTAGACCATTCCAGCTATTCCACTCAGCTATACCCAGTCACTGTGCCTATTCATGGGCTAAAAGACCTCCTGTACCTTACTGTCTCCATGCCCATCACTCATGCCTTCATTTTCTATCTAGGGTAGATTTTCATAGTCTATAATGTCAACCACCTTTTAGCCACTATCCTCCAATCCCTTACTCCATTGTTTACTGTAGCATTTTGCTGTCAAAACCCCCGCCCAAGATTAGCCTATCTGTTAACGTTCTTGTAATTCATCAGCAAAGATACCACACTTATTTAGGTTTTTACCACTGTAATATTATGGTCTCCTACTTCTTCGATTGGTACCTCAATATTGCCCTGAGAAAATTCTAGGTTTCCCTAATAATTTTTCTTAGGTATTCTATTGTGGCTAGTCTCACTTTTCTTAATTTTTCTGAAATTTCTGAAACTACAAGCTCACGACGTAACTAGCACATACACCATAAATATTTTTTTAATACATAAAGGTCAAATAAATACAGGTTTCCTTGGTTTCAGTCAAAGTAGCCTAAAATGTTCTTTATGATTGTAAAGACGTCTGCTCTCTCCAAATTTATTTATAAATTCAATGCATTCCCAATCAAAATCTTGGTACGTTTGTGTGTGTGTGTGTGTGTGTGTGTGTGTGTGTGTGTGTGTGTGTGTAAATGGAAAAGTAGATTTTATTTTGTGTTGAGTCAATTGGATATTCACATGCAAAAATTATTATCTGGAGCTGTACCTCACATCACACATACAAAATCAATACCAGGCGGATTAAAGGTATAAAGGTGGAGAGTACACAATCAAGCTTTTCAGAGGAAAACACCATTACCGTATGTCCCTAAAATAGAAAAAGACTTCCTAAATGTGAGAACCACTAAGACACCATTAAGAGCGTGAAAGGCAAACCATAGCATGGAGGGAATCTTCACAATGCATATGTCCAACACAGGACTCATATCTAAGATGTAAAAAGAATGTCTTCAAATAAGTAAGAAAAAAAGACAGTCAAATTAGAAAATGGTTACATCGTGAACTGAAATTTCACAAAAGAAGATTTCCAAATGTTTGATAAACATATGGAAAGAAGCTGAACTTCATTAGCAACCAGTGAAATGTAGATTAAACCCACAATGAGATATCACTACACACCAACCAGGATGGATACAATTAAAAAGATGGAAGATGCCAAATATAGGCCAGGATCTGGAACTTATATATCGCTAGCGAGTGGGTAAATGGGAAAAGCCAATTTGGAAAACCACTGCGATAGTATCTGCTAAAGCTGAACACTTGCATACCCTCTGACACTAATTCCACTCCATAATATCCCCCCAAAAGCCATGTGCTAGAATGTTCATAGATGCGATATTTGTAATAATTCAAAATGGGAACTCCTGAAATAGTGCAGCATGTTCACACCATAGAATACAATAAGGAAGGGCTGGTAGACTTTTTCGGTAAAGAGCCAGATGGCAAATACTTCAGGTTTAAAGGCCATTTAATCTATTGCAGCTGCTGAATTCTACCATGGTAGCATGGAAGCTTTATTGTGTTCCAATAAAGCTTTATTTATACAAATAGGCAGCTGGCTAGTGGATCACAATTTGCTGGTCCCCGCTATACATCAGTGCACAAATAAAATTTTGATATATTTACACACTGCAGCGATAAGAATAAATGACATACAACTATAGGTAGCAAAATGGGTGAATCTCACAAACTATAGAGTGAAAGAAGCCATGTGAAGTAGTACATATTCTTTGATTCCATTCATATATAGTGTAAAGGTGGGTAAAACTAACTTACGATGTTAGAAGCGCAGAAGGTCATTTGCCCTGGAGGGGAGGTGAGGAGAGGAACATGAGGAGAGCTTGGCTGTACGGTAACGCTCTACTTCTTGAGATTGGTACTGTTACCCAGGGGTGTTCAGTTTAGATAACTTCAGTACCTGGATGGATGAGAGATGTACACTTTTATGTATGTATATTATACTTCAGTTAAAGAATCCTCTGCTGTGTACTGTGGGGAATACTGGATTTTGTTTTGTTTTGTTTTGTTTTTTAAAGTGCTTTGAATGTTTGCCCTTGAATTGCTGCCTTGTTTGGTTTACTGAAAGCATATAATTGTCCAACATGGGGAAGCTCCTGTTTGCTGAACACTTTTGACACCAGCGAAAGTCCAGTACTTGGAGAGAATTAAATTCTACCTCTTTCAGTAAATAGTCTAGACGTTATGTCATTACACTTTGGACAAAGGGCACATTTCTATGAGGGTTGCACGTTGAGATATTTGACAGGATTGCCATAGTCTACCTTGAGGTGTTTGACTCTAGACTCCACACTGGTACCACTGTTAGATGGGGCCATTTGTAGAAAGATAGGGCCTCGTTTTCAAAAACAATAGGCCATGCACTGTAGACTAATTTTATTTCCTGGTTGCTAATTTCACTCAATAAACCATAGAGTTATGGCACCAAACTTATGAAACTTACTAGGAAAATGATGAATTTTGCTGCTGTTTGGAGCATGGGTTGGAAGGAGCTAAAGAGGAGACAGTTTAGGAGGCCATTGTGGGAACCCAGATGAGAGGTGATGGTTACCGGAACTCAGGTGATACGGAGGGAACTGAAAGAAGGCCATGCAAGCTATGTTTTGGGGATGGAGTTCACCGAATTTGCTGAAAGATTAGATGTGGGGGTAATGGTAACAGAGGCATCAGTGACAGCTTCTAGGTTCCTGACTTAAGGACTTGGGTGGGTGACAGCTTCATTTTCTGTGACGGGAACGATTTACGGGTAAGACAAATCTTGGGGAAAATTAAAAACTCCATTTGGACACATTAATTTTGAAAGTTTTGCGAGAGAGTCAAGCACAGATGTGAAATAGATGACTGAATATGCCTGCTCAGAACTAAGATAATTGATATAAATGCTGGAGACATAAATTTGGGAATCACAAGCATTACAATGCCATTTAAATCCATGGTTACTGTTGCTATCTGGGGAATGAGAAAGAGGGGGTGGGAGGCAGATGCCTGAGTTTCGGTAGCAGCTGGAATTCTAGAAAAGGAGAAGAAAGCAGCAAAAACTATTGAAAAACAGGTACAGGGTGGTCCGAGCACAAATGGGACCATGTTGCTAAATTGCTGCCATTCTTACCTTCGGCGTCTGGGGTCTTCCCTCTTTTCTCATTGCCAGCTTCGAAGAGTGTAAATTCTCCTTGGCATCTGTGCTTGTGCCTGTCAAAGAACAGATGGAAATTTAATGGGAAGCATTCCAGGACGGCAAGCAGTTCAGCCTTAGAGTGCAAGCCACTTCTTTCCAAAGTTTGTATCTCTAATAAGGTGAGATATAGACACACCTTGGTCACATTACCCCCCAAAGGGCCACAGAATAATAATAATCATAATAACTGCTATCATGTATAAAGTGCTCAATGTGTGCCAGGCACCAGTCTAAGTGCTTTCAATGTAGTAGCTTATTTGATGCTCACGACACTTGTGAGTGTGACACTATTACCCCCATTTACAGAGAAGGAAACTGAGTCAGGTCCACAGTGTCAGGGGAATCCCTAAATGGATCCCTGACAAATATTAGTAAATTGTATGTGTGCGTGCGCACTCGTGTGCACCATTAAAAAGAGAATAACTCCACAGGAAGTTTGTACATGCAACAGTATTTACTAATCACATTCTAAATCTGGGAGACAAGTTTTAGGGGTGGATATCCTGTGTTCACATTATATACACTGGCTTAATGCATTTCCTTCTTTTCACCTGAGTGAAAGCAGCCCAACTGAAGTACAGAAGGTTCCATGAGTGAGAGGGGCAAGGACGGTAATGGGGAGAGGCCTGGACAGAGCATCACGTAGGGCTCTCGTGTAATGCATGTGGAGCAGATAATTGTAGGAGGTATTCAGTGGTTTCAGTTAGAAATGTGTGAGTCAGATTGTTGACTTTTGCAATTACTGCTGTAAGGTACAAATATATGCTAATGTCTCACCTAGTTTTATTAATATACCTGCACAATGGCATGTCCATAAAAGATCTTCAACACAAAAAGAATAAGAGGAAAAGAGGAAAAAGAAAATTGATCTAAATTACTTTAATCACAACTTGTTAAACTTCTCCCAGAAAGGTAAAATATGGTAGTTCTGTTGAGAAAATGAAGTAATTGCTTCAAACCACTAACCAATCATTTAGTGACCATTTCAGTGTACGGGTATTACATTCATACTTTATCCCTGGAAGAAGTTTTGGTCACGAAGAGACTCCATTTAGTACAAAGTATACTCATTAGTATAATAGAGATGGAATTCCAAAGAATTACAATGCAAAGTGGAAATTAATTTGGCAACCTATATTACGGCATTAAGTATTATAATAAGAAATTTACTTACTCACGGTTAGAGAATATTCAATTAACCTTTTAAGTTTATATATTCATTGTAGGTGGCAGAGTAAAAACTTCACAGACAGAGAATCCATTTGATCTAAAGTATATATTATGCATAAACTCTGATGAATACCAGATTTTGCCTTTTGATGTAAACAGCCAGATGTTACCCTTATGGAGTTATCAAAAATTATTAAAATATGTCTATGGCCCATTTCATCAAATACATATATTCCTGATTTTAAAAAGACATGAGTTGAGACAAGAAAAAGGGGCAAGACATGAAGTTAAAACAAATTGAAAAAAAAAAAAAGATGCTATGCATCCCAAATGTTTCAAATGCTCCAATACATCAGAAATTCTTTACAGGTAAAACTAAGGAATGAGCATAGAAACAATGGGTAGCCAATAGTAGAGTGCTATTGGAATACTGGCAGTTTTATTTAACCCAGACTTCTAGAAGCAAATGTGATTTAACTATTTTATGGAAATGATGGTACAATTACCGATGATGATAGTGTTTAATGGTTTCTATGTGCTGAAAATGCACATCATTAAAAGGCCTCTGCCTTCCAGAAAAGAAAGCTTTCAGAAATGAACACCTAGGGCTATGTTCTTTCTTAACGGGCACCCTGAAGTGCCATCAGCGTAATGGGAATCTTGCAGAAGCATTAAGGAAAACATGCCCCCTTTGGGAGTCATTTCCAGTTTGGATCCATGGTAATATAGCATCTGGTATCTTCATGCAGAGGCTGGTGATAAATGACATGTTAAACAGTCATCCTCGTGAGATGAGGACTGAGTCCTTCGAGTTTTTGACGAGGTTAAAATCGAAAGCAAGCAACTATATAAACCAATAAACAGAGAGCTTAAGGCTAAGATAGTCATTGTATTTAAATCTCAGATTTTCAGTGGTACATGACAATGTAATGCAGAGAATGACCATAGGGACAAAAAAAAAAAAGTTTTGCATTCTTTTTCTGTAACAGCAAAGCATACATCTTTGACAATCACATAAATACTATTCATCTTCTCCTTTGGCCAACCAATATTAAAGTTGTATAATCAAGGTGCTAATTATTTCTTGCACTGCAGAAGTCAGTCAATGAACTGAAGAGTGTCTGCAGGAAATAGGGAAAAACATCTGAGTTCAGTTATCTGGGTTTCTGGATTTAGCTGCTTCTAAACTGTGCGTGTGTGTGTGCGTGTGCGTGCGTGTGTGTGTGTGTGTGTGTGTGTGTGTGTGTGTGTGTGATGGTTACATCTGTTCATCAGAATGACAGCTATGATGAATTTATGAATAAATGGTAAATTTTTTTTCTCTTGGCATATTTCCATGAGAACTGTCCTTGGAGTCAGTTTATGGAGCCATTAATTTGCATTGTGAAGCACATATTCACATAGTCCCCAAGTCAGATCAGTGATATCTAAACGCTCTTAGTCTGTCTCTTTTATCTTGATATATTTTATACATTACTGCATACCCATTAATCTCCAGGGTCTCAGTTCCTCTGCTATTAGGTTCTCTGGTGGTTTTTAGCAAAAGTTCTCCATGGATACGTGGCCACCATCTAACGTGTCAGGATATGACAGCAGTGATATGACAAAGGCAATTATTTTATGAATAACAGGGCTGTAAGGCTCACAGGTGGTGTACTTTTTAAAGAATTTCCTACTATCCTTATAATACCATCTACTGTCTCAAGGGCACAGTGATTTGCCTTGTTAGATGGAACAGAGGGTTTGAAGTTATACGGATGTCCTTGTGGAAGTAAGCATTCTTCTCAATATATCCTTGAGGGCGTGGTAGACACCGTTCCTTCTCATTGTGCTTCTGAGAAATAAGACTGAGAAATCTGGCTTCAAAAATGTCACAGTAACAAGATGAAGTGGTTTGACATTTAATCAGCAATCTATTACATTCTGTATAATCATCAGCAATAAAATGGTGATGGATTCTTTGAAAATGATGGTTCAGGTGCTCTAAGAATACCTCCAGAAGCTTCAAGTGCTTAATGCATCTGTCTGCTCCAATTGTCTCAGAAATAAGCCCGGAACCATGACAGAGAGAACAGAAGTGCACTTGCCTTCACTTGTGCAGTGGAAAATGATTTAAAAAAAAATAACAACTTTCCTTTATTGAGCACATCTCATTCTGGAGACTTTATACTATACGGCCTTTCAAATATTTCCAACATATATTTATGTTAGAATTATTATCTCTGTTTTCCAAATGAAATAACTGAGCTTTAGCTATAAATGGGTAAGCAGAGACGTCTTCTGTCTGGCTCTAAAGTCAAAGTGCTTTCTACTACACGATGCTGTTTTTCAAATCTCACTGAAGACTGAACCTCAACGGATGGACTAGATTCAATTACAGTGAACTGGGCTCGAGAACAGACAGTTGCTATGGGTGTCTTCCAATGGAGTGAGTCAGTCACATGGGCCTAATAAAAGGATGATGGTGATTCAAAATCCCTCTGGTAGCAATGAGGTAGCTAGGACATGTAAAGAAGCCACTGGTAATTTGAATGCTGAATTTGAATGTTATGCATTTCATAAAAGTGAAAAGTTTTACTAACTCCAATTCTTATTTAATACTAAATATGGAAACTACAACCAAAAAGAAGTTGGTATCCACAAAATACCTGCCAGGCAGTTGAGTTAGTCGTCTGTTACCACATCGGGGATAAAAATTAAGAATAAAAATCTCAATTAAAACTGAATGAGCCTATCTGCCTGGGCCTAAATGGATAAGTCTGCTGAACCATTCGACCCTAGTAAGCATTAAACTTATGATTACTAGTTTTAGGAATAAATTAAATTTCTTTAATGTTTTCAATATATTAAGGCTGCAGTGGTTTAGAAATATTTATTCATGCTTTTCTCACAGCAGATGAGAAAAACCTCAAGTGCATATAGATGATATTTACAGTCTTTCCCGAGTCCTTTATGAAATGCGCCTAACTTCAGTGCTTTCGTTACTACAAGCAAACTGCTCATTGATACCACTTGTCCTACAAATGGTATCTCAGTTAATCTCTGGTAAATGCAAAACAATGAAAATCTATTACCTTCTATCCCTTCTTGCTTTTCTTATATTTTTAATCTGGGATATTAATGTCTCATTCTCATTAACAACTCTACCACACATAGCCCTTGCTGATTTGACATCGAGCAAAACATTTATTTTTTACTCTAACGCTAAATAACATTGAAACTAAGTCTCTAATAGTTACACATGGGAAAAGAGGTCCTCAACTTCACAATGCTCCATTCATTATTTTAACCACGACTAGTGAGGGGCATTATTGTTTTCTAACTAAAGGGACATCCCATTGAGTCTTAATCCATATCAAAACCAGAAAAAGTCACCCAGACATTCATTTATCAACACACACATACTGACCGTCTACTCTGTGCCGAGTACTGCTTTTCTTATTAGGGATGAGACGGCTTGAACACAAAAGCCCCACTCTCATGGAGCTTGGGTTCTAGGGAAGAGATCGATAACAAACAAATGTATAGTGCCCGTTGGTGACAAGTGTCAGAAAGGGAAACAAAGCTGTGTCAGAGATCGAGAGTGACAATGGGATAGGGGCTTTCAGATCAGATGACCAGGAAAGCTTTATTTTGAGGAGGTGGCACAAGACAAGAACCTGAATTGTGAGGCAACGATATAGGTGAGTATCAGGACAGAGCGTTTCCCAGGCTCGGGGACGGACAAGTTTAGAAGTCCTAGGGCAAGAATGAGTTTGGCCTCTTCACGTGCAGCTGGAGTTGGGTAAGTGAAGAGGAGAATGGTAGGAGACTTTATCAGAGCGGTGAGCACCAGTTAGTCATG